GGGTTTAGGTTTTTAATTTAAATGTTTTAATGCTTAATGATCTTTAGACAATTTATTTATTCTTTTATTTTTATTTATAGTGAAAATGAGTAATGTCCCCAGAATATAAAATAATAAGTTTAAGTTATTTACGTATTTTATTTTATATTTTATTTTAAACAACATATATTTGATTTCAAGCAACAAAATTTTGTTTCACTTTTAGTTTTACTTCAACTATAATAACCCAATATACTTATGTATTTAATTGTTGTATTTTTTATTTATCAACTTGACAATTAAATGTTCTAGATAGAACATTCTATGCAATGTGGGTATGTGAGTTTGTGTAAACCATTAATCTGATAATTTTCAGCTTAGCCCCTTTATTCATCAGGGGTCACCACAGCGGAAAGAACCGCCAACTTATCCAGCATATGTTTTACACAGCGGATGCACTTCCAGCTGCAACCCAGTACTGGGAAACATCCGCACACACTCGTTCACACACATACACTACGACCAATTTAGCTTATTCAATTCACGTATTTCGTATATCTTTGGACCTGTGGAGGAACCGGGAGCACTGGGAGGAAACCCACATGAACATGGGGAGAACATACAAACTCCACACAGTAATGCCATCTGGCCTAGCCAGGACTCGAACCAGTAACCTTCTTGCTGTGTGGTGACAATGCTAACCACTAAGTCACAGTGTTACCTTTAATGTTTATATATATATATATATATATATATATATATATATATATATTTTTTTTTTTTTTTTTTTTTTTTTTTACAATATTTAGTTTCATATTATCTGTAGACAATTTATTTATTCATTTATTTGACTAAATGTAACTCATGTACCTCAGTCAGGATCTGAAATAACAAGTACATTTTTATGTATTTAATTTAATTTCATGATAATTTATTTTAATTACCATTGATTTAATTTCAGGTAACAAACCTTTGTTTCACTTTTAGTTTTACTTCAACTATAATAACCTTATATAGGTTTATAGGTTGTATTTTTTTGATTTATCAACTTTACAATTAAACAATGTTTAATGTTCTAGTACATAGGTCTCAAACTCGATTCCTGGAGGGCTGCAGCTCTGCACAGTTTTGCTCCAAGCCTAATCAAACACAGCTGATTCAAATTATCAAGGTGGTCATGACTCTTTTGAAAATCATGTTTTTTTGGATCAGCTGTGATTGATGTGGTTGGAGCAAAATTGTGCAGAACTGCAGCCCTCCAGGAATTGAGTTTGAGACCAATGTTCTAGAACATTCTATGCAAGCATATAGGAGTATGTGAGTGTGTGCAATCCATTAGTTCATTAATTTTCAACAACTCATTCATTCTCCTTCAGCTTAGTCCTTTTATTCATCAGGGATCACCACAGCGGAATGAACTTATCCAGCACGTTTTAAACAGCAGATGTCCTTCCAGCAGCAACCCAGTACTGGGGAACACCCACACACACTCAGACACACTCACTACACAGCCAATTTAGTTTATTCAATTCACCTAATATTCCTGTCTTTGGACTGTGGGGGAAACCGGAGCACCTAGAGGTAACTCACACAAACACAGGGAGAACATGCAAACTCCACAGAAATGCCAACTGGAGCCGGGACTTGAACCAGTGATCTTCTTGCTGTGAGGCGACAGTGCTAACCACTGAGCCACCGTGTCGCTCCATTTTCAACAACTTTACAATATAATGTAATCTTATAAATAAATGTAACATGTTAATTCATTTAAAACTCCAAATATACATTATCAATGACTATAGAATATGCCTTGCAGGGACTTTGACATAATCTAAGAACACATTTGGATCACCATCATCATTTCCCCCCATCTAAAGTATCCTTCAGCGTATGATTTGGGAATAAAAATTCATGATGTTCAAGATCAGTGTCAGTCACCTTCTATTGCAACTGTCAGCAGCCTCGACAGATGGGCTGTGAAATGAATCTGAGTGAGCTGTAAGATTATGAGTGCCTTTTGGACATTTCTGTTTCCACTAGCCAAGTATGGAACCACACGAACATCAGCCTACAGTTTTTATGCATTCAGCCATAACTCATTTAAACAACTTTTGAAACTGTAAACATTTACAGAATGTTTACTTTATTTTCTAGATAATACCACAAAGAATCATATTTGATTATGAAATCGACTTATAAAGAAGAGATATGGAAAACAGCATGTCACATCTCCATGACAACCCAGCTCTGGCAAAACTAATTTAGCTGTTCCCTATCTTTTCATCTATTCGCCTTTAGTGTTGCAGAATGGCTGCAAAAACAGAGTCCAAGTTAATGTTATGATGTTGTTTCATTCTGTCTTTCATCAGTGAGACAGTGTGCAGTGAGCTGTGTGCTCAATAGAAGCCTTTTCTCCTAATAATGTCTTGGTAATGGTGAAAAACATATATCAAAAGCACTATGTAAAGAAATAGAAGATTTGCATATGCTTACTTTTTACATTACTACTGAAACAAACTTACGAAGAACAGTACAAACATTTTAAAGGTTTGGCACCATGAATATTAAATTCATTTGAGAGATTACTGTCCTGCATCTTAGTTCAGTCATTCATTTCATTTTCTTTTGGCTTAGTCCCTTTGTTAATTAGGGGTCCCCACAGTGGAATGAACCACCGACTTACCCAGCATATGTTTTACACAGCGGAAGCCCTTCCAGCTGCAACCCAACACTGGGAAAAACCCATACACTCTTGCATTACCACACATACACTACTGCCAATTAGCTTATTCGATTCACCTATATCGCATGTGTTTGGACTGTGGGGGAAACCGGAGCACCCGGAGGAAACCCATGTGAACACGGAGCGAACATGCAAACTCCACACAGAAATTTCAACTGACCCAGCCGGGGCTTGAGTCAGCGACCTTTTTGCTGTGAGGCAATAATGCTACCCACTGCTCCACAGTGACCCCCATCTTATGTTTTATTATTATTATTAAGAATGAGTTTAGGAATGAGAAATGAATCTTCCATGTATGAATTTAGAACACATGCAAAATGTAGCTTCTTTGCAATTTCACCATGTATTTTCTTATGTGCGAAAGAAGATGACTGTATTTTTAAAAACAGCAGTAATAAAACTTTAATTAAAAATATTGATGAAATTGATATTCATTTTTACACTAAAATAACATGACTGCAATACAAACTGCAATAAACAATTTTAAGAGTCCACAACTTTAAACTGGACTTTAAGAGTCATGTTTCAGGTGCTCATACTAACTATCAGTCATTAATATACCCTGTAAACCTGGATATGAACACAAGTAAACACAAACTATTTGATTTTAGTTTACTCCAAGTAAAGTGTGTTAATGCTTAAGATTGGAAAAAACTCAAAGGCCATCTTGGTGTTAATGGATTAAAGAAATGAATAGCAATCTTGCTCTGGAGAAGCTGACATGCACTGAAAATTACAAGGTTTTTAGAAAATATGGACCCCTTTTCTGGGCGATGTGATGGTGAAGTAGGTAGTGCTGTCACCTCACAGCAAGAAGGTCGCTGGTTCAAGCCTTGGCTGGGTCAGTTGGCGTTTCTGTGTGGAGTTTGCTTGTTCTCCCTGTGTTCGCATGGGTTTCCTCTGGGTGCTCCTGTTTCCCCCACAGTCCAAAGACATGCGGTACAGTTGAATTGGGAAGGCTAAATTGTCTGCAGTGTATGAGTGTGAATGAGTGTGTATGGATGTTTCCCAATGATGGGTTGCAGCAGGAATGGTATCCGCTGGATAAAACATGTGCTGGATAAGTTGGCGGTTCATGCCGCTGTGGCGACCCCAGATTAATAAAAGGACTACGCCGAAAAGAGAATAAATGAATGAATGGACCTCTTTTCAACACTTTCTTAATCAGGTGGACCATGCAACATTTTTTTGAGCTTTTAAACCCTTGTTGGTGTCTTATTGTATTGTTCAGATGTCTTACATTTCAGCAACAATTACCAAATTTGTTTAACCAGCACACAATGCAAGATATGAAATGTAAGGTACAAAAATGTATGGAACATTGTTTTTATTTATTTAATTATGTACTGTTATTATTTGAATCTATTTACATTTATATTCACCTTTTAACTATTTGTCTTTTTATTTTTATATATAATGTATTCAAAACCTAATAAATATATTTTGCAATCATTTATTATAATAGTCATTGCATAAACTATAATAGGAGTAAATCTACCTCTGAACCTTTAATTTAACCCCTGAAGATACCCTGCATAATTCAGCATTTTTCTGTCAGTGCATTGTAGGTACATGTTAAGAACACTAGTGTAAAACAGTTTATTAGTATCATAAAATGTGTTATTGATGTTAATTTAAGTCAGTGATGTGAATAATTCAATGATTCAGCATTCAACTGAATAAATCATTTTGTCACTGTATTCAAAAGATTTGAGTCTCTGATTCAAAACCACTTTTTTTTCCTTTTTTTCTCTCCAAAAATTACAAGTACAATACAAAACAAAAAAATGTCTTTAGGAGATTTAAATGATTTGAGGCTAAACTAGATTTGATGTATTATTTGAATTTTATTTTAAAAATACTAAATCAAAAGTTATTGCCACTAAGAATAATGTAAAAGCATTAGGATATTATTAATAACAACACAAACCTGTATTTTTTATGCTGAACAAAAATAGAAGCTATTTAAAAAAAAAACTTTAAACATTGACTTCCACTGATTTTGTTTTTCTCGCTATTTAAGTGAGAATATAACATCTTTCAAAATATCTTCTTTCGTGCTCAACAATAAAGGGAAAATAATAAAAGGTTTGGAACTACTTAAAGTTGAATGAATAGTAGGAGAAATATCCCTTTAATAAAACGTAGATAATTCAGACCTAAATATATGTGCATGCACATTTCTTTGCTGAACTACACCCTTTTATCATCTGGAGTGACGTCGGTCACAGAAAGCAGGGTCAGCTGATCCAGGAAAGAACGGGATTTCCGGAACAGCGCAGCCAATGAGCGCATTCCACATGCGGACAGCGAGAGCGGTGCATGCGGATCAGGAGAGCGGCGGAGCGGAGACACGCGATTGGTGCTGATGGTGCTTGAGCTGCGAACACCGGCAGAGTGCTGCGCTTCACGGGAATGAGCCCAGGACACATCCGAAAGACTATTTAAAGGCCTCGTTTTAATTATCTAGCACATCACAAGGACACTAGGGACTATTATAAGGGATCAAAAAAACTTAGAGATCAAGAACAAGCGGCGACTTTACGATGTCCGTTGTGTAATTTGCGTTTTCAAGTGTAATTTTGACCGGGTTAGGAACTTTTCTTATTATTAATCGCCCGAACTGAGAAGTTACGTTAGAACAACATCGCGTACTGTTTCTCTGAAGTCACTACGGTTGTTTTTGGATCAAGTTTTTTTCTTCTCGTGGGTCCGAAGGTCTTGAAAGTCAGGACTGAAGGATTTGAAGAAGCCCGTTTGTGGGGGTTGCGAGTCCGTTCCTAATCAGCGTGTCCGTCCGTCCACGATGGAGAACGCACATACGAAAACCGTGGAGGAAGTTTACAGCTTTTTTGCGGTCAACGAGAGCACGGGGCTCGGCCTGGAGCAAGTGAAGCGGCAGCGGGAGAAATGGGGACCGAACGGTGAGTGAGCAAACGTGGCCCGGCTAATGCTAACAGAGGAGACTGGGATTGGCCCTTCATTTTAAAGGAAATGGATTTGGCTGATTTCGTAATGTTCGGCGTGTATAAAAGCGTGGTTAGGCCCGTAAAAGCGCGGGCGCACATGCGACGATGTTCATTTCATCAGCCGGCATGTGTCCGAAATGAAGTCGCGTGACGTCACTGCTGCTCGCCACAAGCAAATCATGTTTTTTTTACACATTTGTCGAAAAACGAGTGTTGTGAATGTAAACAGCATTGTTTTGTCAGTAACGTTAAATCATCAATTGTTTTTTAACCGTGTAAGGTGTAAACTATTTTTACAGTACATTAACTTTTAGAATAATGTCTGACCAGTAACTTATGTTTGTTTTCTTTTCTTCCTCCATGATGTGAATCTTCGGCTGTCCCACAGAACTGCCTGCTGAAGAGGGTAATAACCTTTGTCATGTATTTTCCCTGCACGCCGCCTTTTATCCATTTCACGCCTTGCTCTTTATTATCAAGTATTAACATGCTTTTGTCCTCAGGAAAATCACTGTGGGAGTTGGTGGTGGAGCAATTTGAGGATCTTTTAGTGAGGATTCTTCTCTTGGCAGCTTGCATATCTTTTGTAAGTATCTCAATACAGAATTAATGTGACTAAAGTAACTATTAGGCTTCGCTTATGATCGTTTCCTGTGGTTTTATATTGTAAACTTATGCTAAACCAATTAAGGTGCCGATTTTAAAGGATAGTTCACCCCAAAAAAGTTTTGTCTTGATTTACCCAACTCGCCACCTATTTTAATCTTGTTTCTAGGATTCATAATTCCATATTTTTCCCCTTGTAATAATACATTTCCCTGTAATGTTTTTTTTGTGGTATCTTCAAGATGTATTTTATGTTCAACAGGAAAAACAAACCCATACAGGTTTAGAACCACTTAAGGGGCTTACTAAACATTAAACTGTAATTAATATTAAGTACTATATATTTTTGAAGAGTATGGATAAGTAATTTGAATGCTTTTTTTCTAAGTAAAAAGAAACTGAAGCTAATCCATTAAGCTATGTCACTAAGCAAAATGGCAGTGTCATTCATATGTGTATTACATGTTCTGTCTAATGCACAAGTACTTAACAAATAAAACAATAGAGCTGTGCAGCAAAATCAACAGAGAAATCTATTCTGAATAATTCAATAGCATTTTTACTTTTTAAATCAATAATGAGCTTAGTTTTTAAACCGCTAAGTAGAACTACAGGACCAAATGCATTTCTTTACAAAGAGACACTGCCATCTACTGGCCTGTAGGGATGTAACGATTTAAGCCTGGTTTATAGTTCTGCGTCAAGTGACCGGTGTAACCCACGGCGCATGCAACGCGCGTAGCTGTGCATTTATACTTCTGCGCGCTGTCTCTGTTGGTCTGCATTAACACTTCCGAAATGCTAGTTGGCAGTGAGGTGTTAATGTTCCTCTGTGTCGAGTTTCTTCTCTGCTGTTTTGCTTTTCCTGAACACTTCCTGGATGTACAAGTGGCTCAAACTCTCTCATTTTGAAACAGGAACCGGCGGACATGCAACAATTTTAACTGAGGTAAACACAAAACAAAACTTTCCATCAGGAGCTCCTTTACGGGACTCCACACTTGTAAACAATCGCTCCATTGGGCTCGCGTCCAGCTCGCGCCATTTGCGCGGCTCTCGGTCCCGCCCAGACTCGTCAGTGCTATCAAGCTGACCAATCACAGAGCTTGCGATACGCGTCGTTGCGACGTATAGTTACAATTTTTGAGAGGTGCACGTCAGCAACAGCGAAGGGCTATGCGTCAGCGCCGTAGCATACGCCGGTGTTTGACGCAGAAGTATAAATCAGCCTTCACTGTGAGTCAGTGAAAACCGATTTAAATGTGTTATTGTTTCCTCTAGGATTTTTAACAGCTGTGGCAGCAGAGCTTTTAGACAGATCTACCAACTACCTTTGGCGTTATTTCAATGACAAATGTTGTGAGTGCAGTATTACAAGATGAAATTGCATATATATAATAGGAACATGCAAATCGTATTGCGCCGATTTACTCTGTTCGCACGCCCACTCAAATAAACGCTGCTCAAGTGTATTTATGTAACGAGTAACATTTATTAGATTTGCGAGGAATATTTATTAATGTCTTCAATAGACCTACAGAGAGGCATTAATGGGTCCTAAAGTAAAGTGAAATGGCTCTAAACTCCAGCAAGATTAAACTATTGTATGCAGAGCCATAGACCTTTATCTATAAAATATAATCATGGAAACCGTTCATCTTAACTGAAAGCTACGCCATGTTTGCTGGTCTCGCACATCTCGCAACCCAGTCAGTCAGCATGTCACCCTAAAGGGTTAAACATATAACGCACAGCACTGCTACAATTACAGTAAAGTTTGCGCTGTTATAATTACCTTACCTTTTAATATGGTTTGGTTTGATTATTAAAAAAAAAAACAGTGATTGAATGTTTTGATTGAGAAGCAGTAACGTTAATGTAGCCGTGGCAGGATGAATTTTGGTGTGGTGCCCCGACATGGAAGAATGAATGTAGGTGAAACCATGTATGGCTATTCAAACGGTAGAAATGTTGAATGAATCACGATACATGTTTTGAACAGAGGGGGCGCTGTGTTTATATCCGCAAACTCACTTTACCTGCACATCAGCGGCGAGCAAGAAGTGGAGCAGCAGACTAAAATGACAGCAGTGAGGTGCACAAGACAAAACAGAAACTGTGCAAATATTGCAAACAGTCACAGTTTTAGTTTGTATTAAAGAGCCTTCTTTAATTTGTATTGTTCATTTTTTTATTTGGAATTTGTTTTACATTTGTAATTCAGCTGCACAGTCAAAGTTTTAGTTTGCTTATCAAAGAGACTTCTGTAGTTTGTAGTATTCACTTTTTATTTGGATTTTGTTTTAAAATTCTAATTTATTTAGTTATTGCAGAAAAGATTTAATTTTGTAAAACAAATGTGGAGCATTTGAGAGAAGGCTCTTGTTCACCCTAAATTTGTCTCAAATAATTTTGTTTAAATCATGAGATTAGTTTTGTGAATCGTATTGCATCGTGAGTCAGGTTAATCGTTACATCCCTACTGGCCTGGATTCCTTATTAGAGCATTTTTCATACTTTTTGTACACCATGTAAATGAACCATTTTAACATTTTCGTCAGCAGTATGCAGGACTCAGTCAAAACAAGGGAAAACATTTGTTGTTAGATTTACATTGTTGTGTAAACATATGAAGTCGTAAGCTGTTGATATTGTGTTATAGCAAATAAGTAATGTTGACGTGCAAACAGAAAATCTGCCATTGTCAGTGATTTCTGTTTTTTATAATAAGCGCTACCTAAATTGAGTATTTTGATCAAAATCATTTTCTCTTTTATTGCTAGTAACTAGTAACAATGTTCTGTTTGTCATTTAATTAATCTCTTCATTATATAATGAAGAATTATTATGGCCTCTTAGTGTAGCAGTTTAGATTTTATGTTTTCTCCTTGCCTCATTAAGAATTTTAGTGATAAATGTTAATGTCTGCAGTGTTAACGAGAATATGCATCACGCTGAAAGGCATCTGAGCGCTTTATGAATGCTCTGCGAGATATTTTGATCAGCTTTCAAAATGCTGTCATCAGCCTACATGGTGATGATGTACTGTGGTTCACTCAGTGGTTCATTTACGCTGTCTGGTCTGGATAATGTTTCACCGCTGGTATGGGAGGCATGGTGCAAGTCCAAAAGGGCTTAGAGAGCTCTCACTGAGGACATGGTGTAAAATACCTTGCTTTCAAGCTTGAGTTACTATGTTAAACCGACTATATCCACTTCTGTTGTTTGAGTGTGCTGAAAAAATCACTGTTGATGTATCAACATTGAGGATTAATATTATTACTACAGCATTTCTGTTGACATGACAAATACAAGACGTTTCTCAAACGTTTTCACTTCTCTTATTAGCTACTCGTTCCTCATCTTGCCATCAGGCGTCCGGTGTTGTGACAATACACAAGTGTTACTGGGAAAGTTGTTCAATCCCTCAATGATTATTTAAGTTCTGTTTAGGGTCCTATTTACTACATGTATGTTTAAACAGGGTCCAAATGGGTGATATGTGTGTAATGCTTGCCCTTACTAACCTCTCATAGAGATGCATTAACTTGCTACTCTTCTCACCTTTGTTACTTCCACAAGGCAAGTGTGTTATTCAATCAGTGCAGTGTTTCCCATTAGGGCTAAATGCAGCAACTGGAATTTACAACCACAGCTCTTTCCACAAGGACCTTTTATTAGCGAAGTCAGTTCAATAATTTTGAGTGGCGTCTGATTTAATAGACTAAATTTCAGATGAGATGAAGCCATTGTGCTTAGCATCCACTTGCGTAAAAAATATATATTTTTTAAAGTAGAAATTATATTTTGTGTCCATAGTTTGCTTTATTTATTAGAAGTACAATTGTAAGACTTAATTCAAACCCTGACAAATTCTGAAAAATATTTCTTACCATGGCTGGCTTTTTGTTGTAAAAATATTATTTTTAATGTGTTAAATGTGTATATATTATTAATGTGACAAACATTAAAGGGATCACCTAAAATAGCATTCAATACCATAGCTTTACTCTCCCTCATGTTCTTTTGAACACAAAAGAAGATAATTTGGTCTAGCCTAGTGGTGAAGTGCACTGACATATAGCACCATGGTGCTCACAATGACCCGAGTTCGATTCCTGGCTCCAGGGCCTATGCTGATCCTTTCCCTCTCTCTGCGTCCAATGCTTTCCTGTCTGTCCTCCACTGTCCTATCTCAGTAAAGGTGAAAAAACCCTTAAAATAATTATAAAGATAAGATATTTTGAAGAATGCTGGTTGCTTTGATCCATCGACTGCCATAATAAGGGAACAATAATAACTATAGAAGTCAATAGGTGCCAGCAACCATCATTTATCAAAATATTTATGCGTTCAAAAGAAGAATGAACTCAAATTGGTTTTGAACAAGTGAAGTTTGAGAAAATTATGAAAATTTTCATTTGTGGGTTAACTATCCTTTTAATTTAAAAAGGTTTCAATTCACATGATCCTACAGAATTTATTCTGATGTTTCTATCTGTCTTGCACAGACTGAAATTTTAGTTGAAAAAAAAAAGTGTTTTTGAATTTGGTGATGAATGGGAAGTTCAAATGAAGAGCTTTTATTTTTTATCACCAATTTAGTTTAATTCAGTCAATTTGCTTTTGGAATAAGTTTTAATTGGTCCACAAAGTCCCAAAACATTTGATGTTTGTTTTATAATTTTTGCTACAGAGTTTAATTAAAAACCAGACCATTATAGATATAAAAATATAAATTAAAGCTATAGTAAATATGACCAAATATTAAATATTTAAAACCTTTTATATGAAGAATAAAGCTACAGTAAATAAAACAAAATATTAAATCTTAGCTATACAAACAAGCATAGAAAACCCACAAGTGTTTTTAAAAAAGTACCTGGTCAATTAAGTTGAAAGAATGCATCTTACAGGTGGTTCGTCAAGCCTACTCGCATGCATGGAGCGCACTCAGAACAAATGTGTATACAGGGTGTTATCAGACACTTGTCTGTGATTTATTCTAGCTGATCAGAGAGCAGTTTGTCTCTTTAAAGTATGTAGACTCTTTATCATCAGATTGATGACACCTAGATGAAGTCAAAGATTTAATCCAAGTGTCCAAGCTTGGTCCTAGAGGGCTGATGTCCTGCATAGTTTAGTTCCAACTTTCTTAGGGTGCTTTCACACCTGTGAATCGGTTCAGTTGTTCCGAAACAGTGATTAAAATTGTTACATTGTTGCTCTTTGCTTTTGGTGCGGTTCGCTTTCACACTGCAAAGTTTCTAAACGGACCAAAATATCTAAAACAAGTCACGTGGGAGTAAACTCTTCTCACATTGGTCAGAGTGTCTGGGTTTATTTTGCAGAGTCCCGCTCAGCTGTCAGGGGAGGTGGTGGTGGTTTGGTGGTTTTTGACAAGGTGCACGTGACGTGTCTGAAGAGCGAGGAGAGATGCGGTGGGGAGGGGTCAGAAGGGTGCACGACATATTAGAGGACCGGAAGGGAGACGCGAGGTTACTGGGAGATTATCACTCGTTTGCGGGCATCTGGGAGACTCCCCAAACTTCCCGCTCTAATCATAATTCTCTCTTTATATAGCCGTATGCCTTTTACATATCAAAACACTGTGATATGACCGTGCTCGGATTGTATCGATTTCTCACTGCAATTGATTCGCTCCAGAGTTCGTTTCAATCGAGCCAAGACCACCTCATTCAAGCGATCTCGGAGCAATTGATTTGGCTCGGATCCTAGTGCGATTGCTGGTTTTACATATGCCAAATGAACCGCTCTAACTGGGCAAACGAGACAGGTTCCGAAACAAAAGTGTAGGTGTGAAAGCACCCTTAAACACACTTACCTAGAAGTTTCTAGCATGCATAAAAAGAGCTTGATTAGCTGGTTCAGGTGTGTCTAATTGGGGTTGGAGCCAAACTCTGCAGCACATCGGCCCTTCAGGACAAATTGAGTTATTCAACTCAATTACTTCAATTCTTGTTTATTTCTATAGCTCTTTTACAATGTAGATTGTGTCAATGCAGCTTAACATAGACGTTCTAGTAAATTCAAAATGTGCCAGTCCAGAGTTAAATTGAAATTTTACTGCTGAAAGTCCAAACACTGAAGAGCAAACCCATTGATGCGCAGCTTCACAAGTGCCAACCATGAAAGCCAGTGGCACCCCTGATTTAATCGAACAGAACTCAAAGCCTGGGCTGGACTCCACCATGACAGAAATAAAAAACTAAGTAAGCAGGACATTACAGAAACAAAATATTCCAGAAATTGCAAAGGGAATGCAGAGCTTTTTGCCTTACTAAAGTATGTGGGATTGTGTTAAAATACTCACTTTGGCACTTACTGTACATCAGCAGTCACTAATACAATTTATTCTCGAATGTTATACTTTGGCACATAACACGTTGTGCACAAATGTTCTCAAGCTGAAGGGTGAGACCTCTTGTGTGGCCCAGGTACACTTAAGCCCATATGGCTAGATTGAGGGAAGCAGGATTGTCTTATTTGGATCATATTACGTAAAGGATTCAGCGTTCACTGGGTCTTGTCTGAATCGTGTCAGCATGCTTGTTAATTCACATAGCTGACTCGTTAAGTACTTTGTCTTGGTTGTGCCGCCTAGAAATGGTATGCGTTAAATGTAGTAATGCTTGCGGAGTTGCTGACGACAGTCTGTTTTGACACCTGGCACACAGCCACAACTTCTCAGAATATAAAGACATGCTCAGTATCTAAGAGCCATAATCATGACACACAATAGCATTTCTATAGTGTCTTCCCTGGAAATCTACAAAATGTTTTGTCACTTAATAATAATAATGAGTATTCGACCAACTTCCTGAAAGCTGTGAATGAAGTACATGAAATGAAGGAATTTCATCTTAACTAAAGCATTTCTGTTTTTCACAGGTACTGGCCTGGTTTGAAGAGGGAGAGGAGACAATTACAGCTTTTGTGGAGCCTTTTGTAATATTGCTAATTCTCATAGCCAACGCTATTGTAGGTGTCTGGCAGGTAAGTTGGGACTTTTTTTTAAACTATGCATTTGTGTTGTATTTAATTGCTCAAAATGCAGTTCTAATACATTTACAATAAAGTTGTGATAGCAAAAAGTTCGGTAATATACAAAAAATAAAAAGATTATCGGCAATATAAAAGAAAAAGTGGTTTTCAGTTCAACAAAAAATTAAAAGCTGATATTGAACGAACATTCTAACTGCAATATTGTAAAAACATTGGAATTTCCAAAGAACACAGAACACATTTCCAAGCCCATTGCTCATTTTTAATGGGGAAAAAGGTTTTTTGTAGCTTTTATTTGATTGGTGATTCCACTATTTATTTATAAAAACCTTTTATTTTTTTCTCTATTGCACATCCATCATCAGTATTGATATTTGATATTTAAATTAGTGCTTGTATCTTCAGTTAAACTATTATGAGTCTTCTAAGTACAGAATGTACAATTAACAAACAAACTAATCACTAAATATGGTTTTTGCATATTGATGTGCTGTACCAAATTAATTTGAACCATCTATGGAGCTGTGCTTTCTGTATATTGTAATAGTGAAACATGCAACCACTGGGAAAATTATTTCATGCTCCTTAATTTCAGTTAAACCGAGGCAGTGATCTGTCTTTTTTTAGAGGTTTAAATGCTTTAGGCCAACAATCAGTTCCAATTTTTGAGTCTGACTAATGGCTCGTTTCCACTGACTGGTACAGTACGGTACGGTTCGGGTCGGTACGGGTCACCTTTATCAGGCTTGCATTTCCACTAGCAAGGGTACCCTTTTGGTGGGCATGGTGTATGACAAAGTTTCAGTCGACGTAATTTTCGCTCGAGAAAATGTCTACAATAAAGCTGCACAGGTCGCCTTTCGAAAGGGTCCCGAAAAAGTGGTACGGTACGGTTTGGTTCAGTACGCCTTTTCACAGTGGAAACGGCCATAAAAGCGTACCGTACGGTACCGTACCACTCAGTGGAAACGGGCCATAACTATCTGAATAATGTAATTGGGGTCACTTTAAATCAGCTTTTAGACAGCTGTTTTTTATTTTAATTTATTTTTAATATAAATAATTATTTTTCATGAAATGTACAATTGATAAATTAACTATAAAGTTACATTAAAGTTACATTATTCTAAATACATGTCCGTTTAAATCCAATAAGAAAAATTTACAAGTATGGAAGTAGAGTTTACAAGATATTTATTAAAAGAAATGTTTCTTAAGAACCAAATCTGTGTTTGTTTAGCTGTGCTATCACATAAATAAATGACATTTTCATATTTTTTTATGATTCAATTTTTTTGTTTTCTTCAATAATTTAAGATTACAATCAGTTTAAACATTTTTATATCCTTTTTACATCCACTTTCCCCTCCCCAACAGCAGCAGTTTCAGTAATTAGATGTTGTTATCATAAATCCAGTAAATGCAGATAAATAATTTAAACTCAATAAATAAAAAACACACATACACACAATAATAATAGGAAAAATAAAAAACAATGCAATAGTAATAATAATATGTAAATAAATCAAATAACTTAATTACAGTTTTACTGTGTGTCTCACCACAATGACCTTATTCATCGTCCAAAAATGTCAAATAACTTCCCAGTCTTCTATGATAAACATCAAATTTATCAATTAATTTCATTTTTTCATATATTAAACAATAAATTATACATATATTTCTCAAAATTGTGTAAAATTTTTTAATTGTGTTGTATTTGTTTATCAAACCGGTGCAGTCTTTGTAAAAGCGGTGTAATAAGGACTGTCATAATGATCTTTAAAGTTCTACATGTATAATTTCCAACAGCTGTTCTTTGCTGTTAGAGCTTATATTAAACAGACTTTGTTCACTTTTAGATGCGTGTATTATGAATGTCGTTTTTCTTGTGAAGTGTAGTTAGCCTTTTTATGAAAATGAAAACATGTGGCCGTTTTTTCCCTGCCCTTTTCTAAAGATAGTTCTGCTGTCCCAGTGGAATCCAGCGTAGAGCCAAGACCCTATTTTCTCCAGCACCTCTCAGCGGCCCTGAAACTCATGTCCCAGATTTCTCTCTATCATTTTATTTTAGTCACCATTCATTACCCAGACTGCCCTGAGAATCCTCAGCCTTGTCCCCTCCTAGTAGTTTTCTGCTTGTGCTTCAAATGGTCTGCTTAAAGCGAGCAGCAGCGCAGTGTTGAGTGCCTTGGGCTATAGTTTTGCAAATAATATTGATGTATATAAAAGAGAATTTCTTTCTGTAAAGGGCATATGGAAGTCTAAAAAATAGACTTTAGATCTACCTGTTTGGTGTGTCTGAGAACATCTGTTTGATGTGCTTTCTTATTTTAGTAGACCCATGCGATAGAATAATTAATTTAGTTTTTCTTTTATGAAATTCTAAAAAAAATGCAACACGTTATTAATGCATTGTTTTTTTGTTTTTTTTTTTGTTTTAAACAACGTTTACATAAGATTTAAAATGTGTTAATTACATTAACTCAGCAAGTATACATTATTTGACCAAAATTACAGTAAAGATTTTTAATTTGGCAGATTTTTAATTTGGCAAACTAAATAAAATAAACTAATAATAGCAATAATAATTTTAAATAAATCCTGGAATGTATTGTGCTTTCCACAGACTATTAAACATCACAAATGTTTTCCTATTGATAAGAAATTCTTAAGGCTCATCAGCTTTTCAGAATGGTTTTTGACAGACTATATAACATTGAATAGTGGTGTAATGATGAAAAAAATCAGCTCAACAATTATTCTAGGAATAGTATTTTGAAATATCGCTGTCTGGATTATTCTATCTATTAAATATAGTCTTGGTGAGCATAAAAAAGCTAAAGGAAGTCTACCAAGTCTTACCAACTTACCAACCAAACATTTTATAGTGCTAGTGTATGATCTTAAACAAAAGCTAATTTATTCGTAAGTGTGTTTAGAGATAGCTTAACCTAACTCTTTATTTGAGCCATGTCATCGAGCTTAAGGCTGATTAATACTTCTGTGTCAAGTGCACACATTTGGTCCGGCACAGCTTTTATGCAGTCGCATAGCCCTCGCCATTGCTGACGATGAAGCTGATTCTGAAGCTAATGCACACCTCTTAAATGTAACTACCTGTTGCAACGACGTGTAGCACAAGCTCTATGATTGATCGGCTTGGTACCGGTGACAAGCGTGGGCAGTGCAGCGAGTGTTTACAAGTGTCGAGTCCTGTAAAGAAGCTCCAGTTTTAAAATTTAGTTTTGTGTTTACCTTATGATTAAAGTTGTTGCACGTCTATCAGTTCCCACCTCTGAATCCGCAAGTTTTAGCTCTTTGTAGAGTTCAGAAAAAACTAAATACCAACAAAGAAACTCAGCACAGAGGAACAGAAAAACCTACTGCCAGCAAGCATTTTGGAATTGTTAATGCAGAGCAACACAAACAGCACGCAGAACTATAAATGCACGACTATGCGCAAGGCAGGCACCATGGGTCACACCAATCACTCATTGCAGAAGTATAAGTTAGTCTTTACATGTAACCGACAAGTGTTCCTTTAAAAAAGCAATATGAGCTATGGGGAATCATTTAAAGACAGACTTCTAGCACATAGGTCTTAAACTCGATTCCTGGAGGGCCACAGTTCTACACTGTTTTGCTCCAACCCTATTTAAACAGCTGTTCCAACTAATCAAGGTGTTCAAGACTACTTTGACTATTAAGCAGGTGTGAGCTGGAGCTGGTTGGAGCTAAACTGTGGAGATCTGTGGCCCTCCAGGAATTGAGTTTGAGATAGGGATGCTCATCTCAGGTAATTTTGCTAACCGACAACCGCCGCTCGTTAATCGGTTATTAACGGTTAACTGGTCAGATTATTATTAAATTATTATTCAATTTTGTTTTTAAGCAAATTGACGTGTCTGTTTTGTGTCTGACACATTAAATATTGCATTTAAAAATACTGATTTATTTTAACATGCAAGCATATTAATAACAGAACATAACAACAGAGTATCTTCACGCACATGCAGTGTTTTCAATGGCTTAGGAAAACAGAACAAAATAAATAAAATGAATAAAATAAATAGGCCTGCCCTAAATTATTTTCACTTAAGTAATTCATTTAGAGAACAAAACGAAAACACTGACTGATTCTTTTTAAGAACGGGCATAGGCTGTTTTTTCCATTCATATGTTTTTTTTCTTCTGTCAAATAAAAATAGCAGACTTCCTCAAATCGCTCGCTCCACGGAAAATATGCATTTATTTAATGCCCCGCTGTTATTGTTATATCACAACCTTTTTACATTTTTAATAGAAATCATTACTTTAAAGATTAAGTCTTGATATTTCCTCTCTTACTAGCGGTTCAAGTGCGCGCTGCGTGATGAAAAGACAATGACAACGCGTGCATATGTTGACTTTTCGTAAAGTTTTGTTGTTTAAATATGATATTGCATTAATTTGCATACATGCTTTATAAGCTGTAAAAAGAAAGCTAAAGCCTATTTGTTGTTTATGACGCAGATCCAGGAGGCTATCTGCATAATCTTCTTCTATTTTGCTTCTTTGGCAAATATGTCTGTTGGCAAGCGTGGTCGTGCGTTATCATCCTGTGAGTTAACAAATATTTCTGATCACAGCAAACGTGATTTTCCATTCCATAATATTCCAAACGTGGGGCGCACCTCGCTCCTTTTGACGAGGAAAAAAAGGTGCAGTCCTCTCTTTTTTTATATTTCACTATGAAAAGACTGAATCAGCTGGGTATTGATTGTGCAAGAGTGTTTCTGCCTATGTTGTTACAATTGTCATATTTAATAATATTGTGATATTCAAGATTTGTAAATACATACAGCTCTGGGTGACTTAAACAGTGAGCACTAGTCACTCCTACGTCTTTAAAAGTTCTCTGTAGTTGTCTTGACAACACAAACTGCTGCTCTGGTATGAGTCGCGTGAAAAACAATTGCAGCTTTTAGTAAACTATTAAAAAGGTGCCCCTTAACGCAAAAAAGTGCATTCAATCGACCCTTTAGGCAGCCAAACTAAAAATATATAAAATAATGTTTTTAATTGTTTAACTGATACCATTAATCGGTTACAAACGCACCTTTTCGGTTAACAGTTAATTGCTTATTTTGAGCATCCCTAGTTTGAGACCATTGTTCTAGCACATACTGGAGAATAGAGGTACAAATACATGTAGCATTAACTTATCAGTGTACACCCCCATCCAAAAGATCTTTTTTATTTTTTTTAAATACAAAGGTTCAAAGGTGACAAGAAAGATGCTTATAGAAAGATTTCCATTTCAAACAAATGCTGTTTAAACGTACTGTACATCAAACTCTTGGAGGAATAAATTGAAGCATTTTCATTACAGATTTCTTTTCTACATGGACGTGTTTGACTATGAATGAAACAAGTTTCACACATTATTACACAGTTTAATGCCTTTTGGCAATTGTGTTAATCTAAATCTACATTTTGGCAGAGCAGAGTCTGTTGGAAAGCCACCATGTTTGAAACGATTTTGTTTTTAAGGCAGTGCACTCAGTTTCTTCATTGATGTCTGAATCAGAACTCTTCTTACAGATTAGACCAGCCTTTCAGTTCTGCTCAGATTAACCCTCATGGGCTAAACTGTGTGACTTGATCTGCCTTTCTGCCCTTTATTCCTCCTCATTAATATAATGCACAAGAGTCATTTCCGACAACTTATCTGTAATGTTATTTCAGATGTACAGCACTGTGTGTTTTAAATGAGCATCAGTGGATTTAGTCTGATGTAGCTTGAATAATAATGCCAGTATTTTATTCAGAAACTTGCTGCTTAGTTTTATATTAAGTCGCTGGCTTGCCTTTTGTGGCGTGGGTATTTATAGCTTATTTCCTTAAATGTCTTCGTGACCACAACTCGCCCCCCTCTTCGTTTATTCGGGTTTGGATCTTGAAACTGGTTTTTCACCCTCAGGCATGACTGTTTTGTTTGTTTGACATAAGATTTTGTGTTCCCATCCACTCTTTAACCACAGGAAGTCCACTGCCAAATGCTTTGCCAAGCAGGCTATCAATGCTCGTAAGCGTGTCCTTAGGGATTAATCGTGCTGAAATAAAAGGTCACAACATTTTACTTAAGAATAAGCATTAGAGGTCAACGTCAAAGGGTGTTTCCTTTCAGGCATATCTGATGGTACCTGCTTAGTTGTTTAAGATGCAAGTTCTCATATTAAGTGGAGACAGTTTAGACCTTGATCGTCTCATCTTCTCTGGGATGTGCTGTTAAAATGATTCATATTTAAATGGCCACACTACAGATTAATATGTTTTTCATCATTGACTGCATCAATGGTATTTTATTTTAAAATTTTCTATAATTAATTAGTAAGTACTTAAGATGTAATTTTCAATTTTCATGGTTATTTTTACTGACTGTATTCATAAATGTTTGTGTTCAATCATAAACAACATGTGGTGTCAGAGTGATAATGTGATTAAGGGATTTTACATGCCTGTTTGAGATATAAATCAGCATACGCCACGTAGTATAATGCGATTATGTTACTATTATGATTATGTTTGTGATTAGGTGCTTAATCCCATTGGTTTGATCAGAGTATTGTGTTTGAATTGAGTTGAATTGCTAAAATGCAATCAAGACCACAGTGAGGATACATACATGTAGTTTAGTTACTGTAGTTTTTTTTTTAATTATAGTTTGAATTGACAGTTTTTGTTTTTTAGTTTTAAAGTTTGTAAGTTTTCCGTTATTTCTAGATTGATCTATTATATTATTTGACATTATAACTATTATTATATACTATGTATGTATGTATATGTATTATATACTAAATTATACCTTAAAATTTTTCATTTGCATCTACACTGTAAAAAGCGAACTAGGGCTGCACAATATTGGAAAAATTTGACAATGCTTTTTTTCCCTGCAATATATATTGCGATGTAACAATATAATATATTGAGATATAGGTTTACCAGATGACTTGAATAACTCCATAACTAAATAATATTTCAATTAAAATATAAATTTAAAAATCAAATGTAAATTTACAATGCATCTTGAACATATAAATTGTTCAATAAAATAAGTCTTTATTCTCTATTAATATGCTTAGAACTCTCTTAAAATGCTTATATAGTCACAGGCATTAGAACACATGCAGATAATACATTTTTACTCTATTATGCTAAAATTCTGCAGTGTCTCCTCAAATCTTTAGTTTTGACCTGTGGTTTCTTGCGACACACATTGCGATATCGATGCTCAGACGATATACTGGTCAGCCCTAGCTTGAAATATGAATATATAAATTTCAGATATTATCTTTTTTTTAAATTGAGCTTTTACTATTTAAAAATGAAATTGTTAGTTAAATATTTTTATAGTTTTAGTTAAATGTAATAAACACTGATTGGCCACAATTTATTTTATTCATAAAAAAAAGATTTTTTGTTTGTGATTTTGAAAGGTAAATTTTTTAGCTGTCAAAAATGAGTATTATAATAATAGTAAAACAATAATGTAGTCTTAATTATCAGCACCATTTAACACACATTTTTTAAAATTTAACAACATTTTTTTAAAATTCAACAGCAGAAAAACTGTGGAATTGGGCAGATTCTGTACAGTCAATGTCTATAATTCTCTAATCTATTTTTAAAAATTGTGTTTATGATTTGATCTGTGGGTTGAATATTGTAAAGTCTTTTTTCGTACTCGTTAAAACAATCAATCAACTTTTTTTTACGTATACGATCTATTTTCCTTCTTAAACTCTAAAACTGGGCTTCATTATTAAGAACCCTGTTATAGATCAATTCTATAACATCTAAAATGCTGTGAAAATATTGACGTATCATTGCTGTTTCCATTGCGCCTGCAGGAAAGAAATGCAGAAAATGCCATTGAGGCCCTTAAGGAGTATGAGCCCGAGATGGGGAAGGTCTATCGACAGGACAGGAAGACTGTACAGAGGATCAAAGCCAGGGACATCGTTCCCGGGGACATTGTGGAAGTTGCTGGTAAGAATTTATGTGAAATTCAGCCTTGGTGAAGAGTGAAGTCATAACAGCGACAGGTGTAAAGCAGCCAGTGCCATCTTTCAGTTGCTACCTGTGCCGGTTGCATTCCCAGTGGTTTAGGCTTACAGTGCCACTCTCCCTGAACCTTTGTGTGTGATCACATGGTGGCCTCGTTGAGGATTGTGTTTCATGGGTGTCATGGTAAAGACTTTTCAGGGAGTGTGGATTAATTTGATGGTGGCACGTAAAGAAAACACACCAAATTAACTGATTCCTCTTTCGAGTTTTCTTTGTCTCAGTTACTTATTTATTTATTTGTTTGTTTGTTTATTTTTAATGAATGGAAGTTATTTTGCAAGCTTGTGAAATGACTGCTAATTTTACAGTTTTGTAAGCATGTTTCCTGTGTGTTTGTCATTGTGTAACTTCAAAATAGCATGAGTCACATGTATGACATGTTTTTCCTGTTGACACAGGAAGTCGGGGGTGTATATAAACAGTGTGTAAGGAATTAATTTTGAAAGTTTTATAACCAAGTCTTTTATGCCATGTATCATTGAATTTGTTTTCTGGTTGTCCATGGGGTCTTAAAAAGTCTTAAAATTCACTGAAATATTGTGTTGCAGGTCATTTTAAACGGGTCTTAATTTTTCCTCTGTCCTAGTAAAGCTACCCAATCAGTCCAGCATCCATCCAGTCACCAACCATATATATATATGGTAAAAAAATATAAGTTTTTCTATTGCAAAGAGATGCATTTCACAACAGCAAATTTATTTATTTTTTACAGCAAATTGTAGAAATTCAATTCTCTAATCAAGGAAAGAAACCTAAAAACAATTGCTCATGATAATAACAGAGCAATTTTCCCCTTTACATGATCCTGCTCTTATACACAAACTATGTACAGAAGAAAGGGAAAGCGGACATAATATTTGTAAAAAGGAATGGAATAGGCAAGGTTTTATAACAGAAAAGCATTAGGTTGAATAGGAGTTAAACTCAATCCATTCAAACAAAAAGCCAACAAATATATATCTTTTGAACTTTTATGTAATTGTGCCTATAATAAATATATTTTAACAATGTTAAGAAACATTTTTAAACAAAGTGAGTTCAACTACAGTTTTCTTGTTTTGACAAATAAAAATATTTGGCTATGAAATAACTTGTATCAAATAACATAAAGTTGTTAACAACAACCGGGCCATTAGAAACAATCATTAGTGTTTAGCTGTGTATAATTAAAATTTTCATTCAAAATGGTCTTAAAGGGGGCCTAAAAACTAGTTGAAGCCTGCAGAAACCCTGTTGGTTTATTATTAATAGTGAAAATGGTAATATAGTAAATTATTATGTACTGCTATCTTTATTAGGTTACAAAGCAAATTTTTTTTACAACTTAAAGGCATCTTTGAATATCTTTCTTTTTTTGGATTTTAAGTCAGTCATAGAATGTTGATTCATATACGATTTGCTTCTCAAATATTTGCTGAATCATGATCTTTTGATGTGGAGGCTCCTTCTCTGCTGGAGATACTCTTATCCTAAGAAACAAAGCCTTAGGAACAGTATAACAGATGTTTTTAATGGTTTTAAAACCTTGACCTTGAAAACGTTCCATGCCTATTTAGCATTATTTGCTACTTTTTCTAGTGAAATATATAGATTATACTTATAATTAAGTACAAGTTGTTCACATTCAAGATGGTATTTTATGAGCCAATTATTTGCATGGTGCAAGATTATCAAATATGTGGAAATTAATCTCATTTGCAAGCTTAGCAAAGCTAAAAGTATGCACATATATATGGAAAAAGTGCAAAACTCCAAGGGTATCAAATTTATTCACTTAAAAGCATTTCGAGCACACCTGACTTTCTGATGAGCCGTTGTGCTCAATGTTACACGATGTGATGGCCTCTTTAAGTGAATACATTAGATATTTTTGGAGCTTTTGGTGTTGCAGCATTTTCATATGCATTTGCATAATAATGCAAAATGAGTCATCAGTATTTTTGATTGTTTTTCTGGAATAGAACAACTGTAGATGTCATGTTCTTTGTAATTTGGTTTTACTTTTAGCATTAGAATTGCCTGGTGAATTCATCTGAATAGGGATTATCAGTAGTGCCCCTTGCTCTAGATTGCGTCACACACCGCCACGTCTCTTTGCTGAAATAGATCACTAGACACTTCCTTATTGCTTCGCTCAGTGTTGTAGATATTGGGTGGCTCTGAAGATTCTTTCAGCTAGTGCGAAAAGTTAACAGTTCACCATGACTAACCAAAAAGCTTCATCTTTAGCGACTATAAAAGGTTTTCACTTTTGGCTCAGTGCACTCTCTGTTTGCATTGTGTATCCTGTTGTATTATCATGCCGGGCTTGAAGAGGTGTGTGTGCTCGCTAGCTTCAGGAGGAGTTAGTGCGCTGCTTAGTCATGGTGAGGTGAAACGGGCTGTGATGAGAAATGAAGCCACAGGGTAAAGCCTCCATCAGCAGCATGGGGATTGGAGGAGCTGATGTTTTTGAGTCTCTGAGTAATTCTTTGCGCTAACACAACCAGGTGATTGTACCTGTTATATAACCTGCAAGAGGTGCCTAAACGGACAGGTTATGCAAAATTAAACTCTCCACTTACAGAGCAGTATGTGTGGGTGGAAGAGTTGCTGAGGATACATCAAAGAGATGATATTATGGGATGTGAACCCAGACGAGTCGCTTGCACAAGCTGAAACAAAACTCCAGATGAAAAAAAGACTAGGTTGCTAAAAATAAAACCTTGGTTTCCTTTATAGTTGGTTCAACCGTCCATATGACCCCATGCAATTTCCTCCTGGTTCTTCACTTTCATGGGACATAAAAAAAAAAAATTATAAATAGACCAAAATATGTTAGCTGGAGTCGTGTGCAAATCAACTGTTCTCTCACTCTCTTGGACGGAGTGACCATTGTTCAGGATACTGTTTGAATCAATCATTAATCGGAATGGATTGAAAATGAACTAATTTCAATTTGGCATTTCACTTTCATTGATTCAAGTTAACCAATGATTTCTTCTGTGGCAATGACGAAGCAAACACTGCTCTTATTTTATGCTATGTACACAACAACTCTTTAAAAAATATATTTAAGCTTAGTCCATGGCAATGGGTTGCTTTTTTACCAAACAATTTGCTGCAGCTCATTTAGGCGATCTTTGGCTAGTTGTTTTGATGCAGTTCCAAGCATGATTATTAGGAGTGGGAATCTTTAGGGACTTTAATTTTGATTCTGGAAGTCACGATCTTATTGGAAAATGACCTACCATTTAGGGTTGTAACAATATACCGGTATGACGGTCTACCACGATTTGAACGTGCACGATTATCATACCATGAACAATTGCATATCAACGGTTTTAACCCTTAAAGATCGAGACAGCCGCCCGTGGCTAAAAATAAGTATTGCTATTAAATGTTTAATAACTTTTCATCCGCTGATCCGATTCATACAATTCAAAGATTGGCATAAAGAAGAGAATCTCAGCTTTCCAGTGCTGTGTCACATAATATTCGCGGACTTTCAGAGGCTCCGGAATCAGTGCGGTTACGTCATCAAAATTTGACAACGCTGATTTGACAAAGAAACGCTCGTCACTGTGTCTCCAGACAAACCAGACATGATACATTGATGCATTGTCCCTCCTCCATGCCCAGATTGGTTCAAACTCACTATATCACAACCAATAAGCATAGGTTTCGCTTTTGTTTGTGGACCAACAACGAGCGTTTTGAACAACACGGAATGAGAGATAGGCTGTACATTTATGCGCGGCTAAATAAAACGCAAAAAAAAAGTTTTGCATGAAATAATTCTCATACTAAGTACTTTTGCATGCACAGCAGCACAGAAACATGACAAAACAGTGACACAGCAAAGACGAACTGCTGCTCTTGCTGTTTTCAAAAGACGCAAATGAAGGTGCAGCTGTTTGTCTGCATTGCAGTCAACCATATCCAAATCCATATCCACAGACAACCATATCCATGCTGGCACATAAAACCTAAGGATGTTCTATATTGAACCTAGTTTCGTTATGTAACTATTTATAGTATAGTAAATATTTATATCTATTTTTTTCCTGAGGATTTTCACCATGTTTATTTGGACTTTGACACATTATTTATTATTTTCTTATTTTTTTTATTTGTTCATTGTAAGTGGTGTTGTTTAAAATAACTAAAAATATATTATTTGGAAAGTCAAATTTGCTTCACTGTTCTGTTATTTTGTAACATTTGTAGCGTACCGCGAAACCGTCAAACCGTGGTATTGTTTTAGACGATTATCATACCGTAAAAAATTCATACCGTTACAACCCTACTACCATATGACCTCATGTTATATCTCTTACATCTTAACCTAAAATGTCCCCTATTTCTTCTGCTGTGCAAATGCATCTTTACATTTTAACAAATACTGATAAACCTCCGGTGAATGGTCATTGCGACTTTTCAAGTTGATGTTATGTACTTAAAACATAATCCGTTAAATAGACTTCAGCATTCATTTAGTTGTTCGAGGATAAACCAAGATGAAAAGCCGTTAACTTGCAGGATCAGCAGGCGAGCATAGAAACACCATTGAAAATACTGGAGTAAAATAAATGTTCATATTTTGACATGGTGTGGGTAAATGTAATTGTACAATCTGAGACCCACTTTATATCAGATATCATTCAGGCAGTGAAGATTGTTGATTTTTAAAGAAAACAGACCTGCACACAGTTCAATGGATAAGCTTGACCCAGGCTAATGCAAAATTAAAAGTCCATCTGCATGCTTCTGCATATACCTGCATAAAGAACCATCAAGAACTATATGGCTTAATGAACCGAACAAATGTGTCAAGTTGCAAAATAAATTCACCAAAATGAGGCAGTTTTGAATACATAATAGGAAAATAATCTAGTTGAAGCATTAAAATGAATTGATGTTTTGAACGCTGATCATGTACA